CTCCCTCTCTCTCAATATGCACCACCTTGAAGGAAAACGTCCATAAAGACAACCAGCAAACCCATCAATGGAGATTTCTCCTGGTGAAACTTTATGAAACAATCATGTGGTAAAAAACTCAAGAACATTCGAGCCCTAATCTTCTTAACGATCATTGAATTTAAATCCTAAAGGGAAAAATAAAATCAATAAAATAAATCGGACATTTTTTTGGTGTAAGATTCAGTGGTTGTTAAACTATTGTACATAGGATCAAAGCCTGCAGAGCAAGCAATCTCAGTGAGAATAAAAAGGGATTCAATAGTTTTCTTTACTTCTCTAACTTAACTTGGTGATACGCATAACACCATCAACCAATTAACAGATGGAAAATGGACAAAATTAATCACAATGTAAGAAGAGCAAAGTTGATATATTATATAGGATCTAGAATTACCAGAAGGCAAGCAATACATCCAAAGCCGATCATGAAATACCGTCCCACATAGGTATCCGCAAGAAAAGCACCGATAAATGGCGTAAAATTCGTGGCAGCTGAATGAAGGTAGAGTATTTGTGCTCCATTGACAGCATCAATACCATACTCTCTTGTCAAATACAGTATCAGGTTTGCCGAAAGCCCATAATTTGCCAGTCTCTCAAATGCCTCATTTACTATAACAAATTACATCGAAAAACATAATCCGTGAAAAGGATAATCAGAGCATAATATACATGATTGTTTTTTTTTTTTTTAATATGTACGTACCTATGATAAATATCAAGGCTCTTAAGCCACCCTTAGTAGTACTGCTGCTCAAGAGCGGCTCTTTGATTTCCCCTTTATGATCTAAAGGATCTTCCATTTGCTCTTCTTGGACCCTGTTCTTGCCTGAGGGAGTATCACTGTTGAAACTGAATCTCGCTTAATGCCCAGGTTGTGAGAGAGGGCGGGGTTGCCTTTGCCACTCAATCATATGCTGGATATTCTGTTGCTCTGTCGGGTGGTTCCCCACGATACTGGTACAGAAGAACCAGCTACATTCTAGTAAAACAAAGCAAGAAAAAGAAGAAACGAGGAATCATGGATCATTTTTTTAATAGGGAAGTCATTTCAATGATTCTTGGATCCTAAAGCCAAGGTTGGCTTTGGTTAATCTTGTAGTTTTCTGCACGTTAGCATAAAGTGAATTGCAGTCCAGCCTGAACAAGAAAACAAGAGAAATGGAGAAAATTGCGGGTAGGATTTTTTGAGAAATGGAATTTGTTTATTCAACTACGCATGTGATCTTAGAATGGGATAGTATATATTTCAAATTGAAATCGTTTTTTTTTTTTTTTATTTCAATTCTTTTTTCCTCTGTAACCCAAGAGTTTTTCAAGATAGGGGAGGTACGCCATCCATTTAAATAGAAGTTAATTTTTGTTGCAGCCTCAAGTTGGTTCAAGGAAGACTTTCATTATATTTCCACTACTTCATAAATAAAGGATTTGACTGCACTTAACTTCATGATTTTTTCCTTTACATTACGTTTTTCAGGCAATAATTTATAAATTATAGCTAGAACATTGCCAAATAATAAGGGAATTGCTGATAAATATTTTTCATCAATACCACCAAACGACAACAATGATGAAATATTTTTGTTAAAATTAAATAAATAATAAATAATTAGTTAAGATTAATTATATGTTAATTTGATTTATTATTTCATTCATATTTTAACAGAACATTAGAAATGTGCATAAATGATAGTTGATTATTAAATTATGAATTTATTTTTAATTATTAAAAATAAATTTTGAATTGGTAGTTACATTATTTATAAATATTGTCGTTAATATTATATATAGGTTTTATAATTATTGCATCATCATTTTTGAATGTAGTGAGATTCATTTTAAAAAATTATATAGAAAAAAGTATTATAAGAGGGTGGATGCTTTTACTATTTTTATTTTTTATTTCAAAAATTATAAACTAAATATTAATGTGTAAAGTTTAAAAATATTACACCTTTCTAATTTAGATTTAATCTGACTGTTTAAAAATGTCACATTCATGAAACAATATTCCATTTTATATTGATCTCCAATTCAATAGTTGCTTTCTCATTTTCACTTTTCAATTAAGCTAACCTTTTAAACACTACACATGTTTCACTTTGTTGTTAGTCTTCATGAGATCTTCTTACATGATAGTTGATATATTTCTCTTTCACATTTTTATCATACTTTCTCAATGCAACTTTTCATTTTATTTATGAACCCATGTGATCAGAGATGAAATTAAAAATTAAAATTAAAAAAATCAAAATATAAATTATTTTATTATTTAAATTATAAATATAAATATTATTAAAAAAAATGCTGGAAAAAATTTTCCTTTGCAGGGGCTCCCCGCCCTCCACCCCTGCACATGATAATGATTTTTATATCTTAGCCTTTCATTTAATTAATGTGGTGAAAGAATCTGAAAATCCAATAACATTGTAAGTTCCACCACGCGCCTATTTTAAGAGCTTCCTCGGTTATGGCGGAATCTCCACCATTTTCGACTGCTCAACCGCGTGCCTTTCTAGAGGATAGAGGACTCGTGCGCGCATACAGATTGGAGTTTTTGTGGCATGCAAATGTTGATCTTCTCTCTGGCAAATCAATACAAAGTGCACAAGTCCGTCTGTTTCTTGGAATATTAACGAAGAGCCTACACACATTCTCTAATTAGATGTACATATATGATCATGTCATTTGAAGAATATTGTTAAATAAATTATAATTAAGAAGAGAGAGTCATGAATAATAACATATAATTAATCTTTCTTGTTGAACAGGAGGCATGTTACAACATTCACATGCAAAGAAATTATAACATTTTTAAAGAAATACAGTGTGTGTGTGTGTGTCTGTATATATAGATGTATGTATGTAAAAAAGAAGGAGTCTTCATTTTTTGTCTTCGGTACCGTTGCCCGCTTATGGCCTCCTTCGTGGACCGGACACGGTGGTGTTATCCCCAAATAAGAAATAACGGACGGGCCTCTCATGTAGGCTGATCATAATGGGCTTTCATACAGCCCAATTCTGGCAATCCAGTTTCTGCTAAGGCCGACATGTTTCGGCCTGCTCATTCATTCACACCCTCGTTGATGAAGAAGACAAGACTCACATGCGTTCTTCTCCATCTTGTGTTTTTTGTCCTTCACGTACTAAGAACATGGCGGGTGGGTGAATGGCTAGGTAGAACCCAAAGAAATGCCCGAGAATCTTAAATGAGAGAATCCTTTCCTTTCTATCCTCCCAAAAATTTAAGCGATTTCATATATAATTAAATGCTCGTTGGACCGCTAATTAATCAAGGACGGACCTGCTTTTCATTTATAAAAACAGGTTGCGAGCTTGGCAATAAAACAATTAAGCATTGGTAGCATCGGGCACATCATTAATGTGAAGAAATATCCTAAGAAGACATTAATAAATTAAGCACGTTAAGTAAAAAAAATCACAGTACAAGAACTACTTTATTTCACTAAAAGGAAAATAAATAAAATCAAAAGCACATAAAATAAAGTGGAAACATAAACAATTAATATTTTAATTAGAAAGTTATATATATATTGAAGTCTATAGTCAATAAATAAATTACTTCATGGGATACATCTCTTAATTATATTTAAGGAAAGAAATTACAATCCTGAATATACCTCATAATTGCTAACAGGCATGTACGTACGTACAGGGTTTTTTTTTTTCTTTTTTTTTTGGAGTCATATACATGCATGTACATATATAGATATAATTAGTCATATGGTGCTGACCACTATTCATAGAAAGCAGCATGCTTGACCTTTTTTCCACTTAATTAAATATTATTAATGGCACTCATAATTTATGTAGATAACACGATTGCCATTAACAATAATGAAGGAATTAATTTGATATGAAAGATTTGGAATGGGGATGGAATATTCGAGCATTTACACACCCAAA